TTTACGTCTAGAAACCTTGTTTTTTTTGTTATAATCGATAAATTTTATTTGAAAATTTGAAAAAAAAACTATTTCTCTGAGCACGCTTATCCTCGGCCGAGGTTTTACCCTACTTCTGCGTCAGTGCGAGACACAGGGGTGAATGTATTGATCGGGGGAGGCTAGTCGTCGCGTGCCACCCTTCCCATATTATTTCATACTAAGCTAGATTCCGAGTGACACGGAAGTGGGATAGTGGTCGCAAGCGATACATTTTAATATTTAGCGTTATGAGTAATCACTATTAAAGGAAGTTGTCTTTGCCGTAGTATATCGATTAACTTGTATTTTTATAACAGTTTTGTTATGATGGTGTGTTATAATCACGAGAAAGAATTGACAGAAAAGTAAGTTTTCACTTAGTTTTAGTTATTTGAAAGCGCTGGAAGTAAATATTTTTGCAGAGTTTCTTATCATTTATTTAATAATTGGAGAAAATTTCAATTTTCAGTTTACAATTTTTGCTTACTGATGGCTTATTTCAATATATTTTTTTTATTCTAAAATTCTTTTATCTCTATTTCAATCTTGTCTGTTTTAGTAATACGCCTTAAATATTGTTTAGACCTTAGTATGACTTCTTTTGGATTTATTAGAAGATTTAAATTGTAAAAAAATCTTATGCGAATTGCTTTGGCTTCATCCAAGTAGAGTTTGTAATATCTACTTTTTTTGTGTGAATTAAAGCTTTTAAAACAAATTTCATGCCTGAAAACTATGGGAGATTATATAATATTTTTTGGCACATAGGGATTGATACATCTGGTTTAGGTAATTTATTATTGTCATAAAACTAAAAATCTATAAAGACTGTTGAGACAATGAACTTTTTTTTAAATTAATATTCGTCTAATAAGAGAAATTGTTATTTTTCTATGATCAACCCCCCTCCCCCCAACTAAAAAATTATGTTTATATAGCAGAAATAATCTGAAAATCACTGGGATCAGCTAGAAGGAGACTAGACATATAGATAATCTATTTAGTAGATACTATAGTTCTGTGGTACTAAGGCAGAACCCGATATGTCATAAAAACATATTGACTTCTGCCACCGAACAATTTGCTTGTAACACTTGTAGGACACAAGATTTTTATTTTATCGAATTATATTGTTCAGGAATTTCATGTTCATATCGGGTTTTGACATCATGTTTTTTACCGTTGTTCATGTTGGCATTAAGAACAAAACTGTGCATGTTGGCATTAAGAAAAAAAAACATTTTTGTTTACATATCGGATTTTGCGGTAGTACCACAGAATTAATATTATTTAATTTTATATAGAAGATAGATTTAACATTTTAGGGGAAGTAAGATAGTATAGTTGCAAGTGATTAAAACGCTATTTTATTATCTATGAATATTCACTAAAGGAAATGGTCTTTATTGTAGTACTTTTATCAATTACTTTTTATTTTTATGACAGTTTTGTTATGATGGTATGTTATAATCATAGGAAAGAATTGACAGAAAATTAAGTTTTTAAATGCACCGTTTAATTAGAATAATAAAATTTATGATCAAAGAAGCTTTTATTTTGACATTCTAGTATTCTTATAAGAATTGTCACCATACATAGTTCATCATCATACATTTTGTTCACAATATATCAAGATCTATCATAGATATCTATAATCTATTAAAAAGAATAATATTTTAGAAGTATCTAAAAATACAGTGAAGAATTATTAGAAGTGTCTATTTCAATAAAACTCTCCTCATATATCTTTTGTACCTTGATATCACTTATTTTGGTATTTATTACAAGGTTTCTGATGGAATAAAATAGTTAGGTACATGAATTCTTTTGGCTTCACTTCCTTTTTGTGTTATATTGGTTTCGGAAACAAAAACTTTAAAACAAGATTCATTGTTAAAATTATGGGGGCGTTAGGTAATTTATTGGGTTCTTTGAGGGTACAGAAGGAATAGTACAAACCCTTTTTGTCACATAATTATTAGAGTTACAGAACTAAATTTATTTGTGAATCTTTTTCTCCAAATATTTTTTAGAAAATTAGTGGAGAAAAACTGTAAATTTTATTTTAGTTATTAAGATTATTAAATGTTTATAAAGTACTAAATGATTCTGTCAATAAATTTTACTTCATAAATTTTAATATCCATATAAATACTTAGTATAAACGGAGATATCCAAAATGATTAAAGTAGCTGGCAAATCTGTCATAGAGGATTTTAGGATTAATGATTTCTATCGATTTAAAATCAAATTATCGATCGAAACATTTCAGCAAAGTATGTCAGTTCGTTTAAAATCTATCAGTTTTGAATTTGCTATTTTTGTGAAATTGACATGATTTTCATTGTAAAAGATTACCTACTATATTTTAATAAAACTATAGTGT